CCGCCTACTTTTTTAATAATTTTTATATTTTTCAAAATAAAGGGTAAAAATAAAAGAAGATATTTAGAAAATAGAGAAGAGGGTTGGAAAGATGTTTCTCTAAGAATTTTTTAAGAGTACATCCTTTGAACCGGTTCAAAAGAAATTCTGAACATCTTGAAGCTTTAGGAAATTTTTAAATAAAAATTGGTGAAGAATAGGGCGAATGATAGTTTTTCTTTAAAAAAGTTCAATTTTTGCCATTAAACCGGTTTGATCATATTACCCTTAAACCCTTTGATCCATTGGGTGTCCATTGAATCTTTGGACTCTGACGACGGATTGGGTGTGTCTAAATACCGTTTAAATATGTGGGAGGGGCTAAATGGTTGGACCCCGCTGCCCCTGACGACTTGGAGGGGGGGTTAACTACTTATGTTTAAATTTAATTTTAAATTTAAAAAATTAAGAAAGAAAAATTTAATGGCATGGATGTATATGTAAAATGCCACAAGTAGTTTGAGAATGTATTAGAGTGGAGGGGGGAGAGCGGAGGGGGAGAAGAGGGTAGGGAAGAGCGGAGGGAAGAGGGGTAGGGAAGAGCAGAAAGAAAGGAGGGGTAAGGAGCTGCGAGGGAAGGAGGGGGATGGGGGAGAGATGAGAAAGAGAAGAAAGAGGGGGGATAAGTGGAGGAAGAGGGGATAATAAATTTAATTAATTTTATTAGATAGAGAGTTAACAAAGATCTAAATCAATTTTACATTGATTGTGATTGATTTTGATCTTGAGAAGGCAGGCAAATTGACAAACATGTCAATATGACCTTTTCTAGTTTAACTGAATGTTTGAATTTTTGAGTGTTTTGAGTTGTTATAATTTATATTGAGGTTGTGGATTATAGAAATTATCAATAGATTGCGTAAATTGCGTGGTTTTTTGAAATCATAATCAATGTAAAAAATTCGTGGTTTTTTGAAAAAAATTTAATTTTTGGCGCTTAAAAGGAAGTAAAAAGTCTTATTGGCCTTCCAAAATTTTTTTCACCTGCGGCGATGATAGGACGATAAGACGATGATAAGATTTTCACCAATAGGACGATGATAGGATTGATAGGATTTTCACCTGCGGCATGATAGGACGAGGCTGCTGAAAATATTTTTCATTACCTTCCAGCCCTGGTACTAGGGTGGTCCATAAGTTCGTTCGTTTTTATGAATCTCAGAATCCGTCGAGACTGGTCTACCCGATCAGTGCTTTTCTTCGAGACTTAGGTCGCCATCATTGAATTTTTTAACCAATTTTGTATCAGTCGAGCTAAAGTACACCATCACCTTCAATTTCGAAAATTTTTCACGCAGATTCCGTTGCTTTTAATTTCTGTTTTCAATAGTGAAGTAAAAATGCGCGAAAATAGTATTTTTCCATGTTTTTTCTAAAATCCATTAAAAATTTTTAAAAAAGCGAAAAATTATAAAATAAATTGTATTTGATAGACAATTCTTTGCTGAATAAGATGAACCCAATGAAGTTTTAATTTTATCAATTCCAAGGTAAGTTATAGACGATTATCTGAGACAGCTTAAAAAACGAACGAACTTATGGACCACCCTAGTATTGTATACAAAGCTCCAGTATTGTGTACGCCTCATTTAAGTGTATGAGTTTTCAACTCGTCGATGTTACATATAAATGAGGTCCGATTGAACTGTGAATTTATGTTCAGAACAAGTTTTATAGCAAAACAAAAATTTTTGATCAGTTTAAAATCCGTGATTCCAATCAGTTTAAAAGCCGTCATTTCAGAAAAATATAATTTAAAAATAAACTCAAGATAAAATTAATTACGCAATAAAAAATTTCAAACTACATACTTCTATTAGGTGCGGACATAATTAGTGGCCGTTTTTTTAGATTAAATTTTTAGGGGTGTTATATTACATATATTCTTTCTACTTATTAATCAACATAAAGATCCGGATCTGCTCTTCATTTTAATACCAGGTTTAGCCATACAAGGATTAAATTCTTAGAGTTATGATTTTTTGAACTTCACTACCTCGTAGTGAAATTCACAAGCATTTACACCAAAAATTTTAAATTACCAAAAATGCAATAAAAGAATCAAATAAACTTAATGATCTAGTCATTGGGATCGTTGTCTATGCTAAACAGCAAAAAATAGGGTTCAGGCTTTATCTTTAAGGCCGTATCACTCTCAGAAGCAAACATGGTCGAGGGAGACGGCTGTTTTAAGAATAACGGTCCTGCTCGGCCGGCTTAGATGGAATCCGCTCATTTCTACTGCTGAATTATAGAAGGATATCTGCTCTATATGTATGTCCACGGGTGACTCAAAAAACGCGGGCTGCGCTTAAGGAAGGCAAATCAGATGCCGCGTGTACTCTCTTTTGCACAGATGGGAAAACGACACGACACTCCCCCAAAAAGTTGTTCCTTATAACTCAGCCTAAAATCATCCGATCAGGATGATCTAAACGATTTTTTAAATCTCATAGAGGGCTTATACTAAATCCGAAATATAAAGTCTGTAAATCGTGTCAAACCCGGAATTCGAATTTCGACTTTTTCGAAAAATTTAGACCTTTCGGATTAAAAATTCGACTTAGTGCCCTCCTGATAGAGATTTTGAAGAGCTTTCGAATGATATATTACACTAAATATTAGCATTACATATACTCGAAAAAATTTGATTTTCGATGATTTCGAAAATTTTGACATTTTCGATCATAACTCCCTGAATACCTAACCAAAAATTTCCAAATTCTGGAATCCTTTAGAAAATACACTGACAAATTATTCGGTATAAAAATAAAAAATATTTTTAAGGAAATTAATGCTAAAAAACCAAATTAAAAAACGGCCACTAATTATGTCCGCACCTAATAAAATGCTTGAAATTGGTTCAAATTTAGTTAACCGAATTGGTTCAGAAATATTTTGAGCAATTATGGTACACTAACGTGGAATTTTTGGTTCGTCTCTATTTAATTTTAGCGTTATGTGTGTGTATTTAGCAGTTTAGAAATTATAAAAAATTATAAAAACGAATAAAAATGAACTATGAGAATTAATAAATCCTTACAGCCTTTTAAGTTTTTAAAGCCATTTTCTTCATTTAAAATTTATATCGACTGCCTATATATATATATATTCTTGACAATTTTATTAATAATTAAAAATTAATTATTAAAATTATAAATTTTTTTAAATTTTTTTATAATACTACACTCTGTTAATAAAGTATAAGCACCCCTAAAATTTTTGTGAAAATACATGATCCCTAGGCATTATTTGTTTTATTTTTTTCCTATATTATCAGGGATCCAAAACATAAGTAAAAATAAAGTTTCAAAAAATTTTATTGCTTTAAACATTTTAAAATTGAAATTTCTCGAAATTAACGTGTTAAGAAAGTATAAGCACCCCTGTAAAAATTTAGTTTCTACTGATTGTAAAATTCTACAAAAAATACAGTAAATATGTCTATCGATATTATGGAAAATAAAAAAAGAATTAGGCCAATATCTCATTCCAGCGTCGAGATCTCGAACCCTTAAAATCAACGTAAAACAGGGTTTTTCAACTTCAAAAAAATTTTTCGACCCCTTATGGTTTATTTCGATTTTTCATTATGAGCTCATTCGAAAGCCCTTTAAATTTGCTACAAGTAGCATAAGTTTTATTTTCCAAAAAAATTATTTCAGCAAGTTATTAAGTTTTAAATTTCTAAGGCACAAAAAACGTCCAAAATACCCCATAAAATTATCTCTGGAGGATTAACGCCCTGTAACTCTCTATTGAATTTTTTACTGAGATATATAAATATCCCTATCTTGTAGCAAATTTAAAGGGCTTTCGAAAGAGCTCATAATGAAAAATCGAAATAAACCATAAGGGGTCGAAAAATTTTTTTGAAGTTGAAAAACCCTGTTTTACGTTGATTTTAAGGGTTCGAGATCTCGACGCTGGAATGAGATATTGGCCTAATTCTTTTTTTATTTTCCATAATATCGATAGACATATTTACTGTATTTTTTGTAGAATTTTACAATCAGTAGAAACTAAATTTTTACAGGGGTGCTTATACTTTCTTAACACGTTAATTTCGAGAAATTTCAATTTTAAAATGTTTAAAGCAATAAAATTTTTTGAAACTTTATTTTTACTTATGTTTTGGATCCCTGATAATATAGGAAAAAAATAAAACAAATAATGCCTAGGGATCATGTATTTTCACAAAAATTTTAGGGGTGCTTATACTTTATTAACAGAGTGTATAATTATCCCCGATTTTATTGAGGATAGAAAACCTTACTTGAAATACTGATCAGTTCCAAGAGTCGGAGGCTTATGGACCTCATAAATTAATGTGATTAGAACAGTGCCAGTTCCAAATAAACCGATTTTTGCATTTTTAGCCTTTGCCTTTCGTTTTTTTAAATCTGTTTTTAGTAATAGTCTAGAACTTGTTCATATTTCTAAATTTAATAACCTCAATTTAAGTTGCCTTTTTCTATTTTGTTGGTGACTGGGTGAGGGTGAGAGGTACTAGTGCCGTTTCTCGTTTCCATGGATAATTATTTAAAATAATGTTAAACTACCTATATGTATTAAGAAAGAGTTTGTAGTCACTAAAGTTCTATAGTGCTCTTTTCTAGGAGACAAAGGGAGAAGGCCACACTGGCCTTTGAAATTGTGAAGTACGCTCATAAAGATATAATTTATAATAATTTTTAGAATTATTCTTATTAAAATGAAAAGAAATTTAGTTAATAATTGTCAAATATGCGGTTCTAATTTTAAAGTTTTTCATCAATATAATGTTGATTGTTGTAGAGTTTGTGCGGCATTTTTCAAGTTTTAAAAGTGTTTCTGAATAAATTTAAATCTTAAATTTAAAAAAGGATCTATCTCAAAAATAAGAAAATCAAATTTGAATGCAAATGTTTTCCAGCACGATTCAAAACACCTTTAAGGTTGATAGACTGTGAGAAATGCCATCTTAATAAATGCCTTTCTGTTGGAATGAAAGAAATAGTTTTAGTTAAGACTGAAGCTTGTTCTAAAAAAGAAGGTTCAACGAATAGGCAACAACTGACAACTTTGAGTTCAACATACCTTTCGGAATTGTGCCCTAAAAATGATTCAATAGGTTCATATAATGGACAACTTCTGATAACTGCTAAATCAGAATATTCTTCTGAAATCTGCCCTATAGAAGATTCATTCATACAGCAATTAATAAATAATGAAAGTTTGGAAGATCAAAAGGTTGACCTTATATGTATAATCACTCTATAGCAGAGGTCGGTCTGGAATGACGAAGGTGCCGGAAATCGGAAATGGCTCAAAAGCCGTAAATCGGAATTCCGACCGACCTCTGCTCTATAGGGACTACTGACATTGGATACATTTTTTTAAAAGAGTTGGTTGGCCTCGAATGGATGGTTTAAAGGATAACATTTATTTATGATGCTTCCAATATATGATAAAACATCTCAGTTCCAAGGGGTCTCTCTTTGAGTTAATCCAACTTTACTTAAAATACATGTTACCTTTAATCCTAAAAAATCTTATAAATTCGTTAGATTATTGCTCCGATTGTCATTAAATCAGTTAATGAACAGAAACAACTTAGTTTATTATTGAAAATGACTGAAAATCAGAAGAGAATTATGCATGCTTTTACTGACGTAGACGAAAAGTTGCTCAGATTTATTTGTTTTGAGGATATTATACTCTCAGGAATTAATATTTTTGATCACATCGAAATGTTTTCTGTAAATTTTAGTAAAACTTACTGAAATATTTCACTCAATTTCAGCCAAATCCTCGTCCAATTTCTCGAGAAGAAATGCTTAGCTGGGAATTAGACAATGAACGTGAAGGGGTGTTTAATAAAAGGGTATATAAATGTATTCAAGTTGATCAGCTGATATGTGTTGCTACGGCAAAATCGTTGCCTTTTTTCGATAAATTAACTTTAACTGATAAGGTCGAATGATTTAGACAAAATAATTTTGATATGTTTTATTTGTAGATTGAACTTTGCAGGCACGTAGCAAGTCCATTTGCTTGTTTTGCAGGTTCAGCTATATCATGTGAGCTTGGCGTAGATAGTTGGACGCGTAAGGATTGTGTCATGCCTGCTCTTGGAGTTATTAGAAACAAAGAGTTTATGGAGGATTATAAGTAAGCTTTTCCCTGTTACAGTCGGCTTTCAATACGTATTAATGCGCGGCCCTTAAGCCAAGTAGGCGCAAAGCCATAACTTGCTTCAAGATTTACGACTTTAGTATTGAACGATTTCTCTCATCGAGCTAAAGAGATTAGTGCATACCATAATTAATAAGGTCCAGAAATTTCCTAGCTGGTTATGTCTTGGGCGTTGGGCGTGTCCTTGGGTGTGTCCCAATATTAATACACCTCAATTTAAAATACGGTTTTAACTTAGGATCTAGCAAGATATCAGAACGATACCCATTATTTAAAATACCTCATTATGAGATACAATTTTTTCAACCTCGAAGGAGGTATCTATAGTGAAATATGACTTATTAAATCGAAATACCTACAATTTTAATATTTTTATTAATAAACAGATTGTTTACATTGGCTGATCGAATATTTACAAAGTCTGTAATTCCCTTTAAAAAAGCGGCATTATCCAAAAAAGAATATGCATTACTAATAGCTATTTTATTTTCAAAATCAAGTAAAATTAATAGAAAAATTTTAAAGAAATATATCTAATTTTTATAAAGCTATTGAAGGTTTATCATACAATGGAAGAGAGTTATTATACGAACAGTCTGTTAAATACATGAGAATCTTACTTGAGTATCAACAAAATAAATATGGGGTAATTGAGGGTGCTAGACGCTTGGATGAATGTATTCGTTTAATTAATATATCTTTCCAAATTGATACAGCTTTTCGTGAAATGCATACATATCTGCATTTTAAAGCTGAAAATAAGTCTCATGATCTTATTGAACGTTATTTGGATAATACACTTTGATTGTTTCGATTAATGAATAAAATTATTTATTTAGCTATCTATTAAATTACGCGCCCAAAATATGTATATGTACGAAAGATAAATGTAAATATACTGTAAATACTCTAATAGAAGCCCACCTCATGTATGGGCCCACCTCTAATATAAGCCCATCTGAGGAGACTTATTGAAAAATATAAGCCCAGGGCTTCTATTAGAGTATTTACGTTATATAAAAATTTAATATAAAAATTAAAAAATATACATAATTAGTCAAATTATGATTTAATAGTAAATCCTTAATAACGTTACGAAAAAATGTTTTTGACAAAATTAACAATTCAAATACTTAGTGTCTATGGATAAGGGAGCCTACCGACATTGGGAATTTATTTTTGTTTGTTGTGTTGGAATTTCAGATTCCCGACGTTGAGAATTTATTTTTTATGTCAGGACGTTCCCTATTAAGTTTGGGATTTAGTATATTTAAGTCGCAGTCCCTCCCCCCCCCCCAATAATGAGTTAAAGTTTTTAGCCTCAAGGAGTCCAATTGTCTATTGCCTACAAAAAATGCGTTTGAAAATTTATTTTAACCATAAGATACAAATTTTTAAATGGCAAATTATTATTATATAATGAAGTATAAAACTAGATAATTAATGTCTACCACCACCTTCAGTTCCTTCTCCTTCACCTGTTTCCCCAGCACCGATTATATGAACAGCACCACCCATCTCTTCATGTTCATTTTCACTAACTTCGTGGCTACCACCCAAAATATGGGGAGACAAAACCTTTAAAATTTAATTTTAGTTTTTCTATCTTTATTAACCTCAACAAGAAAAGATTCCGTTGAATTAAATCGGGGTGAAAGAAAATTTGGACTTAGAACAACAATTCCCAAAGTCTCAGGTGAAGCAACTCGTGGAGAACCGCCAACTATAAAAATTATATTTATTAAGAATTTAATATTTTTTCGAATATTTGACTAATTTTCTTTTATTACGGTCGTGCCTCTCTTTTAGATACATATTTTGGCCTTTGAAAAGAGGCAGGGTGGGTCGGAACAGTCAGAGGTGAACTGGCTCAAAAGTTGGAACTCGGAAATCGGAAATCAAAAATTTTTTCGGAAACCGGAAATCGGAAGGAAAAAACGTCGGACCTCTGATATGAGGCACACTAATTTTGTGTTACGTTTTATTCCCTCACCCATTGGGCAACCTAGTATTAAATGCAAAGTATCTTAAAGTAATTGTATCCAATTCTGGTTTCATCTAAATATGTATATGATTCGAGTGTATTTCAAAATAATTTTTCAAAATATAATAAGAAATTATTTTACTTGGTGTTAATATTTGCATAAACAAAGCTTTAGGACTAAGTATCCTAGCTTCGAAAGCTTTTGGAGCTAGCACCTCCGCCATAAAAACATCAGGATTCAAGATAAAAGCACTAAAAGCTTCGGGTGAAAGAACTTCAGCTCTGAACGCCCATGGGCCTAGAATTCGAGCAATCATTGCCATTGGAGAAAGAATGGAAGCAACAAATGCTTGTGGAGATAAAACTTGAATCTATTTTAATTAAAATAATAAATTAATTTGATTTTAATTTTATAACAAGGCTAAAGCTTTTAAGAAACATCTTGAGCCTTGTTAATTTAAAAATTAATTTTGTACCGTCATAAATTCAGGAGAAATAATTTCTGTCCCAAAAGCGCTCGGTGATAGATACACCTTGAAAATTAATTTTTAAAAATAATTTTTTTTATTTTATTCAATCAACCCCTTCAAGTACAACACCATCTACCCTGTTTACATCTGCAAAGGGTGCGAACAGAATATTTTTTGGATATTTTTCTGTTTTGTTTTCCTGTTCTGGTGATATGCTTAAATCGAATGTTTTATTTGAAATCCCTTCAGTATCATTAATTATTTTAAAATTTTCTTCAGCCATTCTTTTGATTCGGTGTAATTGTATATCACCAAATTTTGCAAATTTGATTATTTTTTCCTCAATTTTTGAGACATCTATTTTTGTAGGATTGGATTCACCTAAGTATGTAGATATGAAAAGTGAGTTATATTAAAAAAGGTTTTTGGGAGATAAAACATTTCGAAAAAATAAATCCCTTTCCTGAAAGCATTTAAATTAAAGTATGAAGCAATTTTTGAAGAAGAATGATGAAGATAGGCTATTTCCCCGGGAAACATCCGAACTTAACGCTAAATTTAAAAACAGAAAAATTAATTTTAAAATTTAAGAAAAAAATTTTCGGATATAATTGAAAGAAATTTTCATATGCAATAAATTATATATTTATCATGTTACCTAATATCTCACTTCTTTGCCATTTATCCAAAATTGTGTATTGTTTTAATGACAAATCCATTTTTTGTTCTTCACTCAAACTAGTTTTTAATATTTCAATTTTCTTTTCATATTCTTTAATTCTTTTTATTGCTGGTAATATTTTTTGTTCAAAATATAAAATGTCTGGTTGGAGCCTTTCCATTAATTTTAATAATTGCTTGTTGGCCCCACTCATTTCCAACAACATTTCTAACCATTCTTTCGTCTCGATTTCATCCAGAGAGATTAACTTTAAAAACAAAGCATGTTTAAATTATACAAATTAAAAAACATGTTCCGGAAAACATTGTTTTATAATTAAAAACATGTTCCGGAAAAACAATGTTTTATAATTCAAAAACATGTTCCGGAAAAACATTATAATTTATAAACGTTTCCGGAAAAACATTGTTTTATAATTAAAACATGTTCCGGAAAAACATTGTTTTATAATTAAAAACATGTTCCGGAAAAACATTGTTTTATAATTTATAAACAAATTCCGGAAAAACATTATAATTTATAAACGTTTCCGGAAAAACATTGTTTTATAATTAAAACATGTTCCGGAAAAACAATGTTTTATAATTCAAAAACATGTTCCGGAAAAACATTATAATTTATAAACGTTTCCGGAAAAACATTGTTTTATAATTAAAACATGTTCCGGAAAAACATTGTTTTATAATTAAAAACATGTTCCGGAAAAACATTGTTTTATAATTTATAAACAAATTCCGGAAAAACATTATAATTTATAAACGTTTCCGGAAAAACATTGTTTTATAATTAAAACATGTTCCGGAAAAACATTGTTTTATAATTAAAAACATGTTCCGGAAAAACATTGTTTTATAATTTATAAACAAATTCCGGAAAAACATTATAATTTATAAACGTTTCCGGAAAAACATTGTTTTATAATTAAAACATGTTCCGGAAAAACATTGTTTTATAATTTATAAAGAAATTCCGGAAGAATTTTCGTGTAATTTATAACATTTTTCGGAAAAAACATATGTTATTAATGTTATTAATTAAAAATATATGTTATTAATTATTAATTAAAAAAAATATGTTATTAAAATGAAAAACATATGTTATTAATTAAAACATCTACAAGAAAAACATTGTTTTTATTTATAACCTTTTTAATTAAAAAAAAACATTGTTTTATAATTTATAAACAAATTCCGGAAAAACATTATAATTTATAAACGTTTCCGGAAAAACAATGTTTTATAATTCAAAAACATGTTCCGGAAAAACAATGTTTTATAATTCAAAAACATGTTCCGGAAAAACAATGTTTTATAATTCAAAAACATATTCGGAAAAACAATGTTTTATAATTCAAAAACATGTTCCGGAAAAATATGTTTTATAATTCAAAAATTGTTCCGGAAAAACATTGTTTTATAATTAAAAACATGTTCTGGAAAAACATTGTTTTATATTTAAAACATGTTCCGGAAAAACATTGTTTTAAATTAAAAACATGTTCCGGAAAAACATTGTTTTATAATTAAAAACATGTTCCGGAAAAACATTGTTTTATAATTAAAAACATGTTCCGGAAAAACATTGTTTTATAATTCAAAAACATGTTCCGAAAAAAACAATGTTTTATAATTCAAAACCATGTTCCGGAAAAACATTGTTTTATAATTAAAAACATGTTCCAGAAAAAAATTGTTTTATAATTAAAAACATGTTCCGGAAAAACATTGTTTTATAATTAAAAACATGTTCCGGAAAAACATTGTTTTATAATTAAAACATGTTCCGGAAAAACATTGTTTTATAATTAAAAACATGTTCCGGAAAAACATTGTTTTATAATTAAAAACATGTTCCAGAAAAAAATTGTTTTATAATTAAAAACATGTTCCGAAAAAACATTGTTTTATAATTAAAAACATGTTCCGGAAAAACATTGTTTTATAATTAAAACATGTTCCGGAAAAACATTGTTTTATAATTAAAAACATGTTCCGAAAAAAACAATGTTTTATAATTCAAAAACATGTTTCGAAAAAAACAATGTTTTATAATTCAAAACCATGTTCCAGAAAAAAATTGTTTTATAATTAAAAACATGTTCCGGAAAAACATTGTTTTATAATTAAAAACATGTTCCGGAAAAACATTGTTTTATAATTAAAAACATGTTCCGGAAAAACATTGTTTTATAATTAAAAACATGTTCCGGAAAAACATTGTTTTATAATTAAAAACATGTTCCGGAAAAACATTGTTTTATAATTAAAAACATGTTCCGGAAAAACATTGTTTTATAATTCAAAAACATGTTTAAGATAATATTAAATATTAGTTTGAAATCATTTTCGGAAAAACATTGATTATTATTTTAAAAACATTTCCGGAAAACATTAGTTCCCAATTTAAAATATTTAGTGAAAAAACATTGTTTTATAATTCAAAAACATTTTCAGAAACAATTAAAATATGTGTAGGAAACTTTCAATACCTGAAATATTTTTGGCAATGAAAAATCTCCATTATCTCCAAAACTGAATAAATCTGGCGATAATAATTTTTGTCGATTTTTAGTATTTGCAAATAACGAAAAAATTCTTGGAGAGAGAAAAGATATACTTTTATCACTTCCTTTTAAAGTTTTTTCAAAGATTAATTTTAATTGGTCAGCC